GACGGCCCAAGAAGCTTCCCCCCAGGACAGCCCAAGAGGGCCCCAAGACGGCCCAAGAGGCGCCCAAGATGGCCCAAGAGGGCCCCAAGACGGGCCCAAGAGGGGGCCCAGAGGGGGACCACGAACCGCAAGCTCGAGCCTTCCGCCCCAAGAGGCCGCCAGGAGGCCCCCAGGAGGCCCCTCAAGAGGCCCCAGGAGACCCCAGACGTCCAAGGACGCCCCCAAGACGCCCCAAGAAGCCTCCAACATGCGTCCCAAGAGGGCCCCTAGACGCAAAAGTTGGCCCATTCCCTTCGTAAAACGTACATGTTCAACAAAGTTGTCTTTTGGGCTTTCCGACGTTACAGGACGGCCCAAGAGGCGCCCAAGACCGCCCCAAAACGGCCCAAGAAGCTTCCAAGAGGGCCCCAGGACAGCCCAATAGGGCCCCAAGACGGCCCAAGAGGCGCCTAAGATGGCCCAAGAGGGCCCCAAGACGGGCCCAAGAGGGGACCCAGAGGGGGACCACGAACCGCAAGCTCGAGCCTTCCGCCCCAAGAGGCCGCCAGGAGGCCCCCAGGAGGCCCCTCAAGAGGCCCTGCACCCTTCGGTCCATCCTCAACCACTTTCGACTGCCAGTCCTGCTCGAAGAGCCTCGGCAGGGGCGCCCAAGGCCCTTTGCATCCTTGTTTTTCATAATGTCTACCCCTAAGGGGGATTTTCGACGAGAAATGAAACATACCCCAAAAATGCCCCAAGAAGGCCAAACAATACTAAAAAGATGGTCCCCAGACTATTTTTCTGTTATTTTTTGACTGTTCTTAGAGGTCTCGACCTCTTCCCAAGGACCAGGTTTTCATCCTGAATCGTGTTTTGACGGTCCCGAGGCCCGGCAAGGGCCCCCAGGGGCCGCAAAAATGCGAAAAGCCTCCCGTCGAGATTTTTTGTGATGACTCGAGGGGGTTTGGGGTGTACGTCCTTCGTTCGCTCCTGACCTGTGCCTACCCCACCCCCTATCGCTTAGCTGCCTCGATACGCCCGTTCTGATACTCAATACGTACCGTGCTCAAAACGTCCGGGTCAATACGTTGCGTGTTGGCTCAACGTTTTGGCCCACGTTTTGGCGAACGTATCGCGTCTGACCTACGTTCTCAGTCTACGTGTTGAGCTTCGTATGCGCTACGTGCTGCCTGTTGCGTATCGGGGCAACTGCAGTCGGGCCGCTGAAGAAGGAACCATGGGGAGGGACTCAGTGTTCCTTCACTCTTTAACAGCTTGTCTTAGGTGTTCCTCAAGTTTTCCATGGGAAATCGACGTTAAAGCTACAGAAAAGAGGCGCCCCGTTCCTTATCTGTGGTTCCTAACGCCAGCGGCCCGACTGAAGCCCTATCGTTGCCCCTCCTGCGAGGAGGACGCGGAGCAGGGGGAGGAGGAGGAGGAGGAGGAGGAGGAGGAGGAGGAGGAGGAGGAGGAGGAGGGGAGGAGGAGGAGGAGGAGGAGGAGGAGGAGGAGGAGGAGGAGGAGGGAGGAGGAGGGAGGAGGAGGAGGGGAGGGGGAGGAGGAGGAGGGGGGAGGAGGAGGAGGAGGAGGAGGAGGAGGGAGGAAGGAGGGAGCAAGAGGGAGAAGGCGTGCCACCGGTTCTCCTCTCGCCGGTGCTGCTGGCGGGGCTGCGCGGCGGCACGCCTCTCCGGCCTCCGATGTGGGAGGCGAGCCCAGGGCCCACGGGGCCCAGCCGCCAAACGCGGCGCCCCCAGAGGCGGGCAGCCTGAAGGCCCGAAGCTGGCCTGGGCCTCGCCTTCGAGCAACGACGAGAAACAGTTGCCCAGGCGTTCGCGCAGGCTTCCTCCCTCCGTCCTCCTTCCTCCTTCCCTCCTCCTCCTTCTCGTACTCCTCCTCCTCCTCCTCCTTCCTCCCTCCTCCTGCTCCTCCTCCTCCTCCTCCTTCCTCCCTCCTCCTGCTCCTCCTGCTCCTCCTGCTCCTCCTCCTCCTCTTCCTCCTCCTCCTCCTCCTCCTCCTCCTCCTCCTCCTCCTGCTCCTCCTCCTCCTCCTCCTCCTCCTCCTTCTCCTCCTCCTCCTCCTCCCCCTTCCCCTCCCCCCCTCCTCCATTCCCCTCTTCCTTTCTTCGCCCAACGGCGCGAGGTTAACTGTTACGGTCGGGCCGGCGAGGCATAAGATCGAGGTCGTTTCGGAGAGGGTACCCTACTGTTCTTCGTGTCTGTTGGATGCTCTTGTGCATCCTGGGGATGGTACCCTTGGACGTTCTACGTTTTTTGACTGGCAAAGGCTCTCATCTTCTTGCAGGGTGTTTTTCTGTCCTAGGTCCGACTGTAGACTTTCGACGCACCGTTCGGATTTCTTAGGTCTGCCCTGGCCCCCCTGGCGGCGCCTGCGGCGCCGTCCCTGGCGAGGTCCGCGCACCATGGAGGGGAGTCTGGCGCAGATCCCAGAAATCCGAGCGGACCGTCGACAGTGTACTTTTAGACTGGTTTTTCTTCCACACTCGGCATCGCTCGAGCGTGTGCCTTTTTTTTTCCTCGGGGAGGACCCTCGAGGAGCATCATCTTGGCTCGTCCTGCGGAGGGAAAAAACAGCAAAAACAAGACACGAAGCCGAAAGACTCACGGGAAACGCGGGGCGGATATTGGGGGAACCGCGGGGCGGGCCCCACTGCCCAGCCCTTTAAGCAAACCGAGTAAGAACCCTTCTAGGCAGAGCCTAGGTAGGGAAAAAACAGAACACGAAGCCGAAGGATTCGCGGGAAATGAACGTCCGAGCGATGGCGAGCGTGAGCTGCGGGAGCGGCTCGGGTCTGCGGGCTGCTCCTCAGAGGCTCGCTCGTGGAGCGCCGTTTTCTGTTTCTGGCCCAGGCCCGCCGTGGCCAGAGAGCCCCTTCGGTTCCCTCGTGTTTGCGCGCTCCTCCATGGCAGCACGACGGCCGTACGTCCAGGCCTCCCGCCTGTTCTCGGGAGCCCTCGTGGGTTCCTGGAGTCGAAGACGAGAAGACTCAGGAGGAGGGGGGAAAAAAAAACAGACACAGTGAATCGTCGATCCCCCGGAAAATACGGGAAAATATGGAAAGACTTCGAAAATATTGGAAAATATGGGGAATCCTGTTATTTGTGTGTATTTATTTGTGTGTCCCAAGGCCCTTTCAAAGCCGGCATAAACAGGATTTCCCAGGTGATCGTTTTCTGATTCGTTGTTTTGCCGATCTGCGCGGGCCCTCACAACCCCCCCCTGCCCCCCCCAATGGAGTAGATCTTGGCTGTTTTGGGGCGCCTGTTTCCAGCAGGTGATGTCCCTCCCCCATGAGACACACCGCTGCACCCCCCTCGCCCCCCACTTCCGCCCAATGTCGAAACGCCGAAT